ATCTCAGCCTCTGGTATCCTTTGCAACTTCTACAGCTGCATCATTGAGAGCATCTTGACTAAGCTGCATCACTGTCTGGTATGGCAGCACTACTGTTATGGACCGCAAGCGCCTGCAGAGAGTGGTAAAGACTGCGGAGAAGATCACCAGGACTCCACTGCCCTCTCTGCAGAGCATTTACCACTGCAGGGTGCGTAGGAGAGCTGCCTCCATCCTCACAGACCCCACTCACCCCCAGTACGGACTGTTCAGTCCCTACTTTTGGGGCAAAGGTTCACAAGGGTGACATGCAAGACCTCTAAACCTAAAAACTCTTTCTTTGCCTCTGAAATCAGACTCCTAAACAGCAGACAGGAGTTTATTACCAGGAAATACGTCATGTACTGACGACCTGTACTGTTTACATTCTTAGTTTGCACATATATAATTGCACATTGACTGTTGACTACTGCACATACAGCTGATATGTAGCATACGTTCTTTTATTCTGTTCTTATATATTTGTATTATATCTGTTCACTTACTGTTTTAATGTGCCATTTTTTTTCTTGAACAATTCATTCCTTTTATGTTCATTTGAACCATTCTGCCTGTCTTTTTCTGTTTTCTAATCAACAACTAAAAGAAGTACCGCAGAGGAGATGACTAGTTTTTTTTTTTCTTTAATAGTTCACATTAGGTTGCAGTGTCAGCAAATTCAAATTGTAATAACTGTTGATCAGCATTTTTGTAAGTTATGTATATAAATATCACTGCATTTCATGGTGTTGTCTCATCCCTTGTAATAATTTCCTTTTATTTGTTCCAAGTATTGTTTTTTTGTATATGTGAAATACTTGGGTCAATAACAAGTAGTTTTTAAAGTGCTGCACAAATAAATTTGATTTGAAGAGTCATCATGAATTGTCTGGCAGATGTTTTATGTCTGCTGCAGCTGGACAGTTGAAAATTATTCAAACTCAAAAAAATGGCCAATAAAGGTGGTGGTGTTGTTGCTGCTTATGTCAGAGACCACATTCAAAATGTATGAAAAACAGTACATCTATAATGTAACTGATCTTGAGTTCATAGCTTTGAAGGTTGAAGCCCAAGCAAGTGCAGTTGTATACAGACCTCCAGACTACAGCTAGCCATCATTCCTGTCAAAGCTGTGAAGCCTATTGGATGAATCTGAGATCAATTTGATTGTCACCCCATCACTGGAGCTGTTTACCTCTAAGGGATTGTTGGAAAAATGATTGACAATATCTTTACTAAGGGTCAGTAAACACCCAGACACCTATAGTGAAATTATTGTGTGAAATGGACTAGATAGTGTATGTTCCCTACTGAATGCATGTATCAAGCTTACACCCTGCTGTTACATGCAGTTCTCATGAGCAGTCAGACTGCAGATGTGTGGAAATGTTTGCGATCACACCCCATTCTACAACACAGAACTTACCACGACTGTTAAGTCTAAATGTATAAATGACACTGCCTCTCCAAAGATTTGCCTCATGCAACCCTATTGTGTGTATTGAGTGCACCCTTGCAACAAGTAAAATTGCACTTTAGACTTACCGCAATAGCAGTAAGTCTTCTCCTTTCACATTGTTTGTTTTTCATCTCAGAAGCTACTAAAAATACAATCAGTATTGGTGGGCACATACCAAAGCATATTGTGATAAAGATCAGTAACATTATAATGTTTGGCTTTGGAGAAATTAAGTTGTGATTTATTGTGATAACAGTGCTGGCACCATAGCACCAGAACTCAAGCATAGACTAGGTGAACTACTGCAACTGAGGTGGTGACCTGAGTTGCTGCTGATAAGAGCAAGTAGTTCCTGAAACCACTGACAGCAACTAATATGCATACAAACACAACAACAAGCAGGATATCTACACAGTGTGAAGTATGGATGGAGCCCAGTATTTCTGTCTGAACCCGGCCTGAACCAGTTGGAGAATATGCCAATTGTTCTTAGTGAGATTATATATTATAATGCAGTTTTAAAGACTTGACCATTATAAAACTGCACTAAATGTACTATAAAATGTAGCTTATGAATATTCATAGGCTATAATTCTTTTAATAGTATTTAACACCTTTTCTATTGGCAAATCCTTCAATATTTGAATGGTTTCTGTAGCTGAAAGTTCTGAACAACTGTATGTGTGCCTGTATTATGCACACAAGTTAATTAGCTTAAGACAGGGGTCGGCAACGTCCGGCCCGCGGGCCAATTCTGGCCCGCCCTGAAATATTTTTGGCCCGCCGGATGAATTTTGAAATGTTACATTTATATAGCATGAGTCCGAGTGACACAAACCGGGTCCAATC